ATCGCTGTGGCTAGGACTTCCAATTGTCTTGCTCTTGCTCTTGATCTGAGAGGAAAAGCTTTCAGCTTTTCACTTGAGTATGATGTTAGCTGTGGGTTTGTCACATATGGCTTTTATTATGTTGAGGTGCATTCCTTCTATACCCACTTTGTTGAGAGTTTTTATCATAAATGGATGTTGAATTTTTGTCACATGCTTTTTCTGCATCTCTTAAGATGATCATATGATTTTTATCCTTCATTTTGTTAATGTGGTATGTTGTGTTGATTGATTTGCAAATGTTGAACCATCCTAGCATCCCTGGAATAAATCCTATGTGATCGTGGTGTATGATCCTTTTAACGTATTGCTGAATTTGGTTTGCTATTATTTTTTTGAGGATTTTTGAATCTATATTCATCAGGGATATTGCCCAGTAATTTTCTTTTTTTTGCGGTGTCTTTGTCTGATTTTGGTATCAAGGTAATAATGCTGGCCTCATAAAATGAGTTTGGAAGTACTCCTTCAATTTTTTTGGAATAAATTGAGAAGAATAAGTATTACCTCTTCTTTAAATGTTTGGTAGAATTCACCTTTGAAACTGTCTGGTCCTGGACTTCTGCTTTTTGGCAGTTTTTAAATTATTGATTCAATTTCATTACTTGTAATCAGTCTATTCACATTCTTTATTTCTTCATGATTCAGTCTTGGAAGGTTGTGTGTATCTAGGAATTTATTAATTTCTTCTAGGTTTTCCAATTCTTTGGCACAAAATTGTTCATAGTAGTTTCTTATGATCCTTTGTACTTCTGTGGTGTCAGTTGTAACTTCTCCTCTTTCCTTTCTAATTTTATTTATTGGGGCCCTCTCTCTTTTTTTCTTGCTGAGTCTGGCTAAAAGTTTATCAATTTTGTTTATCCTTTCAAAAGAACCAGGTTTTAGTTTCATTGATCTTTTCTATTGGTTTTTTAGTTTCTATTTCATTTATTTCTTCTCTGATCTTTATTATTTCCTTCCTTCTACTAACTTTGATTTGTTTGTTCTTCTTTTCCTAGTTTCTTTAGGTGTAAAGTTAGATCGTTTATTTGAGATTTTTCTTGTTTCTTGAGGTAGGCCTGTATAACTATGAACTTCCCTCTTAGAATTGCTTTTGCTGTGTTCCTTAGATTTTGGAACATTGTGTTTCCATTTTCATTTGTCTCAAGGTATTTTTTGATTTCCTCATACTATTCATGGCCCCAAGTCCAGCCCACCCATCTCTGCTTTCCCTTAGCAAGAACCACCAGGCCTCACTTTCCTTATTTAAGGTTACCCATGACGTCACTCATGGATTGACTCACAGGGCCCTCTACTGAGCTGTAAGAGAGTTTACACTAATGGCAAGGACTAGCGTCATTGAGATTCTTCTAGGGTTGTCTAGCTCTGTAAGTGCGAGACTTTAGGACAAATCACCATCTCCCTGATCCCGACTCATTGACTTCTGCCCATCGACTTCTGTTGGCTCCTCTCTATCATCAGCTCTCCTAGGCTCTGGGTCCTTATTTCCATCTCATAGTTGGATGGTCCATTTTCTCTGGGATGTCCTGCCAGCACCTCTAACCTGGTATGTCTAAAATTGACCTTATCACATCTTTGCTGTTATGTCCTCCCTCCAACATCCCTTATCCCGCTACATCATCACAACCATCTCTCCCTTTCCGCTACTCGTCAGGACCCTAGTGTGGGTCTTCTCTCTCTCTCTTCCTCCCTCCCTCACGCCTGCCCCTCTCTCTGTCTCTTTGATAGATTTTTATGGTAACCTCTTAACTGCTCTTCCTACCTCTGATTCCTCTCCATTCATCCCACTCTGAATCTTTCCCACATTTGTCTTCCTTACACATAACTCTGATCTCCACTTGCTCCAGAACATTCAGCCCCTACTCAATCATCTGGTATCAAGGATTTCACGACCATGTCTCACATGTGTTTATTCCATCCTCCTCTGCACTTCTGCACATCTTTTCTCTTAGAATTTCCTCTGCCCATATCCACCTGGAAAATTCCTGTTCACCCACCATGTAATCCTCCCAGGTCACTCCAGATGGAAGTTTCCCCTTCTTCTCTATTCTTTTAGTCCTTGTTTGTCCTTCAGGGACACTTCCCCATCTAGCATCTAGCAGTGTCTGGCACATAGTCATTTTTTAGTGATTGTTTATCAGATCAATGTGTATATGGGTTGAAAGGCCCACTGTGCTAATGCTAACATTTTGGGCCAGGAGAGACCAGAAGGGAGAGATTTTTGGGGAAGGTAATCTGCCTGATGTCCCTCACTTTATTCTAAGAAGTACAGCTCCACTCAATCTACATGTCAGTTCACCCTGGATGCCACTATGGAATGATTATGGGGAGATGTCTTTCCTGACTACACCTACACTTAAGAATTGATCCAGTGGTTCTCCTCATCCACAATCTGAGTTTTTTTCTATTTAACCTGAGGAGGCTCATTGAATAGGCTAGCCTATTTAGTAAAGATAGGGAAGGTGGACGTTCACTGCCAGATTTAGCTCCTTTAAAAAAGGTATCTTAGCTCAGGGCAATCTTCCCCATCAAAAAAAAAAAAGGTATCTTAGTTCCTTTGTGTAGTTGAGAAACAGTGTCCAAGAGATTAATAGTGCAGAAGGTGGCATGTGCATTCCCCCATAATGGATGTAGCATTACGGAAGGTTCTAGTGGAACAACACTGACAATAGGCCAAAACACACACAAAAATTCTAATTTATCTGGAATAACAGCAAAAATAAAAGTAGCTGTTCTTCTCAACAATTTCTGTTTTGTGTTCTATGTTAGCCTTAAGAAATCCAAAAATGAAGAAGGTCTGTTGGGAAATTCAAGTGCTTTAGAAATTCTTTATCCTTATTCTCTTTACGGATTTTTCCAATAATCAGTGTTTCTCACTCACTCACATCTGGGGTTGGTGCTATCTTTGCAAGTATGTGAGTTTACCTGCACCCATGATATAATGACTGTTTAGGGGCTTGTCTCCCTGTTCTGACAGATTAATGTGGCAGGAGTTGTATTTCTTCCAGATCACCTTCCTCTGGTTTCTGACAATTCCAAAGCCACACAACTCTCTTCCTTTCTTGACATGAATCCAAGACCTCCCTTACCCAGGGTGACAGCTTTTCATTAATCTTATTTCTTTCTGGGGTGGGGTATTTTATGGTGTCCAGCTATTTCCTCCTTAGCTGAGGTGGTTCTTGAAGGGTCCCACTCATTCCACATAGAAGTTGTGGCTTATTTTAAGAAAAGCATCAGGCATGGATTCCACAGTCAGCACAAAATACCAGCAAGATGCTAATTTCCAGATTTTGTGAAGGACGGGAATAGATATTGGCAGAATATACTTAAGTTTTTGCCTTTGATAAATGTCTAACATCCTACTTGTGATGGATTTCCCAGCTGGATTAGCATAACAACCGAATTTTTCATACAAAGTGCTATATCCATCACAAATAGGTTATCTGTCTCTCTCTCTCTCTCAGTAAGATAAGGTTGAATAAACTCCTGGCAAGCACACTGTCAACGCTGTCTTCATCCACAGCTGCCCCAGCCTTGGGAAAAACCATCACGGAGCTGAAGCAGGAAGCGGATGCTCTGCCTTCAGATGCTGGGCTCTGTGAAAATGTGCTCTGTGTGTCCCACACATAAGGAGATTCGTATAATGTAGTTTGCTCATTAAGACCTAGAAATCTGCTATTTATTTCTTTGTAAAAATCACTGAGAAAAAGAGATAAAGCCATTTTAAAAGTCAGCACTGGACTTTCATAAAAAGTAGATTACTAATGCCAGGGGTATATCTTCCTTTAGGACCTGGGACACCAGTATCACTTATTAGCATCTGGATGATACCAGGCTTTTAGATCTTACTTGAATCTTTTATTGGGCAGCTGCTGAAGTGAAAATAAAGTGAAATAAAACATAAGCCACCCTTAGTGCCTTAAAACCAAAAACACTGAGATAAATGACGTGGGAGCGTGTATGAGCTTGTGCAGTTACAACTTGAATTCAGAGCTGAGAAGATGGTTACGCCACATGTGGAGGCACATGTGATGTTCTGAACAGAAGCAAACTTGAGATTTGCTTTCAAGGCCACGTGGTGGCTGCCTGGCTCAGGATACTGAAACGCTGGGATGCCCATGTTGCTGGTACAGCCATCACAAGCTCCAGAAATGCCCAGATATGACTGAGACCCGAGCTCTGAGCAGTCTCTGTTTGCACTGCCAGCAAAACCTGCTCCCCGTGCTCACCAGACTCCAGAGCTGGGAGCGTGAACACCCGAACCCTCTCAACAAGCAGTTCAAAGAGGACAGAGGACTTGAAATCGCTGTGCTGTTTCTGCTTTGGCAACCAACCTGCAGGCCCTGGGAAGGGCCCCACCCCGGGTCCCACCCCTGAGATAAGTTTCCAATTTGTTTTCCAACAAAAGAGAAGTAGAGAAACTACTGCTATCCAAATCTTGAAGACTTCATTTTAGAACCACTAGTGGTAAAGTTGGAAGACAGAGAAAAACAGTAACATAATCTGATGCATTTTTCTTTTCATTTAAACATCTACTTTGTGTGTGAGGAAGATCAGCCCTGAGCTAATATCCGATGCCAATCCTCTTTTTTTTTTTTTCCCCTTTTTGCTGAGGAAGATTGGCCCTGAGCTAACATCCATGTCCACCTTCCTCTACTTTATATGGGACACCACCACAGCATGGCTTGACAAGTGGTGCATCGGTGCACGACCAGGGAACCTGCGAACCCCGGGCCACCGAAGCAGAGCGCAAGCACTTAACTGCTTGCACCACCAGGCTGGCCCTTAAAAATCTACTTTGAATGCAATTAAATTAATCAAGCATTTGTTAAACACCTACAATATGAGAGTGCTATTCTGCTTCACCGAAGTGAAAAGGGATGTACCAATTAAAAGGAAATTTAATAGATATTTGGTAATCATTTTGAAGAATAATTTGATTCTTGACCTCATATTTAAGACAGTCAGGCTTCTGGAAAGCCACAAAAGCTCTCTGTCCACAGACATGTGTCTAACCTCAACCTCATCATATCCTGTTGCACCCTGAGAGAAAGAGAATCCAAACGGGTGTTGGCCAGTGTATTATTCAAGGATGTCAGATCACCCGTGTGTTTGGTCAGCATATCTGTGCAAGTGGTCCTGACTTCATTTAGATTGCTGGTCAGCGTCCGAAGGTGGTGGGCTGTGTAACTGAGGTTGCTAATGATGTTCACAATATCCGTCTCAAAGAGCTGGAAGCGTTCCTCCAGCTGGCTGAACTTGATGGCCATTCTGTTCTCTGCATCCTTGTGTACGTCCTGCAGGTCTTTCAGGTTCTGCTCGTTGGCTTGTGAGGCCGTGGTGATGTTGTCCATCTGACCTGTGAATGAGTTGAGCTGGCTGTTCATATCCTCCAGGGTGTCGTTGTTGGCTTTGGCCAAGGCAGAGTTATTGGCAGCCAGTGTCTGCAAGCTCTGCACTTTCTCCTTCAGCCAATCAGTGTCCTTCTTGGCTTGAAGGAAAACCTGCTGCAGATTTTGGAAGTCGTTCTTGATTCGCTGGATAGCCTGGCTTGTGTCATCCACAGACCGCTGCAGAGTAGTGATGAGGTTCCTCTGCTGCGCCTGGGTCAGGTTCAGGTTGTTGAGGTTCATAATGACCACATTATGAGAATACATTTGGCTCTGCAGGTTGCCCTGCAGCATGCTGGTATCTTGCTGCAGATTTGTGACATAGCCATTACACGCCTGCAGGGTCTTGTTTACAGTGGTGACGAGGAGAGTGTTATTCTCCAAAGTTTCTTTTAGTTGACTCTGCCTGTCCACCAGTACATCCCCACTCACCTGTAACTTCTCCAGTGTATCTTTGTTCTTGCTGGTCTTTTCTGTGATCTCACGAAGTTGCTGTCGAAGATCCAGAATGTCTGATCTGAAGGTGGAGAGCTCTGAGTTAGTGCTTATAGCTTTCTTCTCAGTTTGGTCCCCTGGAATAAGACACGTTTGTTACTTAGATTAGTGGTATGGACAAGTGTTCAGATGAGGTCAAAGATCTCAAAGAGACTTATCCAGTATTCACTATATTTCAGATATAAAATTTGTGGGATATGCAGACTGCTCTGCATTAGTGAAATCTACATATCTATTAAAACTGGGTCCAGGGGAATTGGAAAGGCTGCTGAGAACTAGGATTGACTAACTTGGGTCAACACTTTTCTCAAAGGAGGAGGAGAATTTACCTGATTCTAGAGCACTGGCCAGGATGCCAAGAAGGAAATAACCTAATTACTGTCGGTTAAATTCACCAAAATTCCTTTTTAAAAAACAAAAACAGAGCCAGCTTTGATGGCCTAGTGGTTAAAGTTTGGCACTCACTGCTTTGGCAGCCAGGGTTTGTTTCCCGGTCGTGGAACCCCACCACCCGTCTGTCAGTTGCCATGCTGTGGCAGCAGCTCACATAGAAGAGCTAGAAGGACTTACAACTAGGACATACAGCTATGCACTGGGGCTTTGGGGAGAAAAAAAAAAAGAAGAAGAAGATTGGCAACAGATGTTAGCTTAGGGTGAATCTTTCCTGGCCAAAAAAAAAAAAAAAATGAAAACAAAAATCAAAGGATAGAATAGGTTGGAATCTTTCATTTTAAAAATTAATCTCTACAATTCTTCTATGCAATTTAAAATAATTCAAATAGGAATTTACTGAGTATTTTATAAAAGAGCTTTTAATAAAGGGTATTTGTGGGTTTTGTTTAATTAAGATTGGTCTTCAGATTTTATTTGGCACATAATAGTGTTTTGCGGGGATGCTGAACTGCAAAATTGGTCCTTAACTTTAAAAGTCTTTGAATTAAATCATAAGGGAAGATTCAACATACAACACAGAAATTGAATGTCGCTCTGGGTGAATGTAGTTTACAGCAACATCATTCTTAAAAGCTGTGGTCATTTATAGAAAACAGTCAGGGGATTCGACCGTATAGTTACTCTCATTGCAGATTACCTAATTTTTTCAGGTCACTTTCTACTGCTGTGAGCTTGTCGTCATAGGTTTGGTGAGATGTCTCCATGCCACCTGTGACATTGTCCATTTTTTCTAAACTGAGATTTGGAAATCAATGCATTAATAAACATACCTGCTCACATTTTATTTTTCAGTTTCAACAAGAGATCCTTTCATTACAGAATAAAGGAAACAGATTGAAACAAAGAGTATAAATGAAATCAAATATGGGGAAAAAG